GATGGTAAATATGAAGACGACGATGAATTGAAAACTGATTCAATTTGTTATAGTTGTCTTATGTATCAATTGATAATTAATGCTCCGGTTTTCATTACTGTTGTCGTGAAAACTGCGACAATCAATTCATTAAATTTGTAACAAATACTTGTGCTACATTTTACATTTTTCTCTCTTGTAGTCTATGTTGTCCTATTCGCTAGTGATGGATGGCTTACTATAAATTAAATTATATCGAGTATTGCAAAATATGCAAAAGCACTATCAACATTTATTTTCTTTCGGTTTCAATATTTTTCACTGGTTGTATAGTTAACAGGAGTTTCAATAACTTTATTCTAACTTTCATCAGAATTTTTAGTATAAACTTTTTCAGGGGTTGTACTGATATTTTTAGGTATCTAATCATTGATCTCTTCACTAGTACTTACAATTTTTCTCTCGTGGATTTTTATCTTTGGAACCTAATAGTATTCCACATTTTACGCAGGAAGTATGTTCATTAGCACTCGGCACATTCCCCTTTGTGATATTTATTTTAGCTGGTGCATTTTCTACTACAATATATGATTTCGTAACTCTAACAGCATCATTAAAAACATCAGGTAATTGATTTGCAATTTTTTGCAAATGCACAATTCTTTGAATTTTAAGTTCACTATGTTTCGTACTAAGATCAAAATCAAGTGGTATTTTCCACGAAATTTCTTTTTTCAGTTGATTACTGTCTCCCCCTAATGTTGGGAAATGAGATTCATCGAAATGATAGTTTGCAAACCTTGCAGTAAATAAATCACCCATTGTTGGTTCAAAATATTTCGTAATCGGGAATGATTCATACCCAACATATATACTCAACCTTCTTTGAGTTCCCATTTTCGTGCGTTGGGGTGGCCCAATTAGCACATAAACAACATACCAAAAAATTCGCATGTGAAATATATTTGGTGCTTTCTCATATACCAATTGAATAGGGAAATAGCTGTGATTACGTATCGGCTTTATCTTCACGAGGGTTGTTGCATGCAATATGACATGTCCCCAAACTGATACAGAAAGTTTAGGCCTCATTAACAATGGTTTAGCAATTAATTGCAATCTTTTAATAAGGGACTTAACCAGGCCATGTACATGGGGAACAAGATGTTCCACAGTAATCCCAATTGACATGCAGTAATAACAAATGTATGTGATAAATACTCTCCAACATGATCTAAACTTATTTTCTTTATTGGGTGATCTGAAAGTTGTACTTGCAATTTAATTATTTGTGCAAGTAGTCTAAAAAAAGTTAGATTGCGATAAGATAACAAATATACGTGTGACCATCGCATTGACATGTCCCTAAAATACTTGAAGGATCCACACAGTGGATCGATTGGTCCACAAATATCACTCTGAATTTTTTCCAGAAAAGCTAGGAATTCAATTCCAACTTTTTTTAGATGACTTGATTATTAACTTCCCTTGGAAACAGGCAGCACAAGAAAATCCATTCGGACTTAATATATTATTTGTTTTCATTGAGTAGCCATTTGAATTTTCAACAATTCGCCTCAGTATTACATTTTCAGAATGCTCGAGTCGATTGTGCCAAGTTTTAAAATTGTTTGTAGCCATGGTCTACTAGGTAATTTGTTTCAGCAGCACTGACTTTTGAGTATTACAAGCCGGAAGAAAGTGATGATGATTTTTCTTTCACAATTCTTTTGTCATTCACAACATGAGTAATCAAGAGATAATCATTTTCTGCCACATTCAATGTTTCAATATGATACCCATTTTTTCGAATATAATTGAAGCTCAGTAAATTCCTTCGAACTTTGCTCGAGAACAAGACATATTCAATTGTTATTTTTGTCCCTTTAGGGATAAATACAGTAGTTTTTCCTGAGCCTTCAATCATTTTCTATCACAACTGATAGTAACATTAGTGGTCTTTCTCATATTCAAATGGGAAAAATAACTTTATTTTTCAAAATGTTGTGAGTCGTAGCACTGTCGATAAGGCAAATATTGTCATCGGCTTTAAAATATTTGGAATCCATATCTTTGCAAAAAGGTAAAAATAATAGAAGATATGTATTAGTAACATAATCAAAATAGACTTATATTATATGGAGTATTAAAAAATGGGGGGTAGACAATATCAAAATAACAAGAAGATGTACAATAATATCTCATCATTTAGCATCATAAGCTATATCAAGAAGATCATCGACATCCAGGTGTGTAATATTTTCATTAAGTACATCATCAAATGTGTCATCGTGGGCAGCGTGATTTGTTTCGGCGGAAACTCTTCCTTGCCTTTATTTTGAGGCTCGATACAATTCAGCCAAGTGACTGGTTGTGCGACAAACACGGGCCCAATGGTCTTTGATTCTACACTAGGTGCATTCCTCATTATTGTCTTTGTTTCTCTCAATGTTAAACCTCTATTGAGGTTTATACGGTCTTCTATCATTGTAACACCGATTTGGCATATATCGGGTCCTATTTTGATAATTTTTGTAATTGTATGTGTTAGTCCGGCCTCGCCGGCGATTCTAATTTCGATCGAGATCAATTCTTTGATTTCTAGCATGCCCACAACCACGCACCGGATTTACCGGTTGTATTGCATTTGCCTCTGAAAATAGATTTGCACATGTCAATCGGGATTCGTGATTTTTAATAGCAATTCATTGTTCTGTTCGGCCAGCAAAAGACAAGTGATTAGCTCATAATATTTCTGGAAGACTCTTTCACGATACTGTTGTTGCAAAATCATGTTAGAGGCATGAAAAGTGGAGAAATTTTTCTCCATCATATCAGATTCAGATATATTTTTGCCACAGTGGCGCAGCTGTGATGTTATTTTAAACATGACAATTATATTCTTCGATTGTTATATAGTCTTGAAGTTGAAGTCTTTTCCATTCGATTCTTGCCCTTGTTAACAAAGTCAGTCTCATGTGATCATATCATTCTTTCAGTCTATCCGACAATTCAAATGGGGATTTCAACGTCACATATTGCATTTTCAGTGTCTCATCAATGTGATGGCACAAAAAGATCATAGCCTTTACACGATCTTGGCTCGCAGAATTTTTACTTCAGAGAATGGTATTTTCCAAGCTCATTGATGCTATATGCATTTTAATATTGCGAACTCAGACCATATAATTTTGGCAAAAAATGAGAAGACGACGAAATTTCTATTTGTTCAAGGTTAGTCATAATAAGCAAATAAAGTATAAACTATTATCTTGCGAAAATTAAAATATACAATCCTATTGATTAACGTGTTGTGATGTTATTGTAGGATTAACCAATAGAAATATTGATTATTTCCACTGCTAACTACTAATTTGTATATTGTATAAATATAATATTACATGGATATAAGATATATGTATTCGTTTGTGCGTTGGTGTTATATATATATATTATACTACCTCCGTCTGCCTCTAAAGATTTCATTTACTTTTTGCGTGTTGATCTTTAAATATTAAATATTATATCAAAATATAGTACAAATTAAGAAAAAATTACAAAAATACTTTCATTGGTGTATTATAATACTAATAGAATAACATTTGTAAAAACATTATACAAATATAAGAATATTTTTATTATTAAGTACAATGTCGCAAAAGATATATGTGACCATTAGAGGCGGAAGAAGGGAGTATTATATTATATGTATGTATGTATGGTGATGGGATTGTATGGTGACGTGCTTAAGTGTGTGTGATGATTGTGTGCACATTAAATGTTAGTATGTATGTATATGTATATTGCATGCATAGAGAGGTGAAGGAGAAATTGTAGTAGAAATAATTGTGTGTTTCTTTTTATTCTACAATCGTCTGTATTTATGGGCAGTGTAATAAATTATCTAAGGTTACAAATAGTACATCATAATAACTATGTAGCTAAATTGTGGACTCATGGGAAGCATCCACAATACTTATATGTAGATATATATAGGTGTAAAATCATTTAATTTATTAATTTACTTTTATTTTTTGTTTTATTCAAGTAATTAATAACACTAATTGAAATACCAATTTTTTATATTAAGTATAATGACACAAAAAAAAACAAATGATGCATTTTTTATAGGACAGAGGTAATATATATTTTTTATATGAATTATAACGAATTGTGTAAATAACATAAAAATTATGAAAATATATAATATATTACTTCCTTCAAAGACTTTATATGACCTTTTCACCCTTTATTCCTCGTGAAACAAAATGGTTTGCCTTTGAATTCTTATCGAATGTGTGAAGAGAAACACCAATAGAAGCGAACACGATGGACACGGGACCTGGGGGCAATTGCCCCCAAACTCCATTATTTTTATTTTTATTATCTTTTTACATGAAAAATTTATAAATTTTTTTGAATATATAGTTAATTGCACCCCAAATTTATTTTATTATCAAATTCTAAAATTTAGCTACAGAACCCGGATGTTGGGAAGGGAACAACATTATGGCAATGAACAGGATGGTAAATATGAAGAATGAATTGAAAATTGTTACAATTTGTTGCAGTCGTCTTCTTTTGTTCAATCCGGTGGTGATGGATGGCGTACAGTAAATAAAATTAAATTGTAATAAGAAGTGGCACGGTGGAGGGAGGGGAGGGGAGGGGAGGGCCTACTGCTGCTGCGAGTGCCACATTTACTTCACTATCACTAATCCCGGAGTTTGATCTCTCTCGTTCTTGATTCTTGATTCTTGAGACTGTCTGGGATTATCTAATTAAGTTGACACCATACTCATTGTTTATTTATTATATATTATAAAATTTAATTCCATATAGAATTTTACTACTATTTATGTAGGTAATAAGTGTTTCAAATATATTTGAAATAAAAAAAAAAAAAAATGTAAATTTTATAGCACGATGATGCGTTTTTTAATCCAAGGAGATAAATTTTGGCTAAAGAAGCATGAGTAAACGAAATGCAGGTAGTTCCTTCCTTCCTAGATGCAGGAAGATTGATTGGGGAATGAAAAATATTAATCAATAAGGCAAGGCAGCCAGCCTCCTTCCTTACATTAATTATATAATGCAAGTTCTGCTGTCTGGACAACAATGGCAGTATTATCTTCTTGTACTAGTACTACTACTACTCCTAGACTAGACTAGACTGCTACACTAGAAGAACAACATATTACATACAGGTATCTCCTCAGATGTAACAATCTAATCTAACCGCCATCAAAACAATGGCTGCCTGCCTGCCTGCCTGCCTCTCTTATACTTCCAACCATGAGCGTAACAAAACCCAGTTCGGCTCAACCGCCGTGTTTTCTGATTCCAATCAGACTTAGCTGCAACAGAAAAGTTTGGTCGAAACTTGAGAAACTGGCGGGCAGATAAAACTCACTTAAACGTGTTTGTTAGTCGAAGACAAAAAAAAAAAACGCTTACAATGTTGTTGTGAGGATGGCGCCAATAGAACCCCTGCAGCATCAGAGGTAATACGTTGCACGCGATGAATATGTATATCATCAGCGCATTCATTCCCATCCATTTCAGCACTGCCGTGCACCGGCTCCATCCGTACACATCCACCTGCATTGTTACCAACAATATTGGGCCAATCAATGCAAAAATCGGATTGGTTTGGTTTAACAGGCGTAAATCGTCATAAATTGCCTGGAAAGACTAACCAAGAGATAAATTGTAGCCAGTACGATCCCGGCGACGCCAACAGTTACGAAAGTGTAGCTAAACGAATATAGGGCCTTGTTTATGTGCATCCCTACCCAAAGAAACATCATCAATCGATGCTGATAGAGCGATTTGGGATACAAGAGAAGAGTCAAACAACGAAAGCTTTACCGAAAATGTCACATAACGTGCCAAAGAATATAAGACAGGACGACGGTGCCAGCCACAACAGAAGTCGGTTTTTGTGGTCCTGATTAAGAAAATCAAATAGGTATCACGCCTGAATCATCGTATGAAGTTTTTATAGCGGTAGTTTCTCATAGAAGCAGAATTACCTTAAAGTGGACAATAATGTGCCCGTATTGTAGACCGATCAAGCAAGTGACGATCGCCATTAGTGTGCTATGTATTCACAGAAACAAACCAACAGCACGTACGCAATAAGGGCGGAGATTCCTTAAACATGTAATAGACAGGGAATCAAGTAAGAGGAGAAAATAAAAAAGAACCTTAAGATTCCTTCAGGGTCAAATGGAGCTTGACACCACGACGGAGCATTAACAGGACGCGGACCGTAGTCTGGCGAGTTGATGCTGCATTGCTGTCAAAATACGAGCAACAATGTAAAGGGATCTAAGGACATTTATAATCACAAAAAGTAAAGACTTAGGAGAATTTACAGTTGTCCGTGCATAGATTGGCTTGCGATACAAGTGCTGAATCCCTAAAACAGCACGGTCGATCATTCCGGCAGCATTACAGGCAGGTCCAGTGTCGCCCCGCACACTACATTGCACCTTTACATATCACGCATGCAAATAAATTAATCGAGTTGACAATACATGACAGGGTGTATGTGTCGAGTAATGTGTTCAACATCCAAGAACTGACCTTGAAGGTTGTCGCTCCAACAGAATCTCCGAACGGAAGCTGATACTCCCAATCCGGGACGTACAAACCATACAACAACATAAGATAAACCGAAGTAATCATGAAGACGGCTGTCCTGAAAATTCGGGAAAAGCACAATTCTAACTTGAAAAACAGAACGGCAGAAACCACGCACGACACGGATATTACTCAAAACTCAAAATGTACCATTGTCGTTGATATTTCTTAAACAACGACAAACCACAAGAAACTTTCTCGTCGTTCCTGAGCCAAATCTCACAGGCTGCAGCCACCGAATAAGCAGCCGCAATTCGCTGCAACACAAACGAAGTTAATCACTATTGATTCCCCGACTCGATTCAAAATGACAAATCGAATACCACACCACACCTGCAATATCCCCATCCACCTGATTTGTTCCATGTCCACGCCGAACGTTAGATCATTAAGACCATGGAAATATCCACCTAACAAACCAAAATACAGTTAACTAAACTTGCATCGAACTAATCTCGATCACATCACATCACATCAATGGCAATTCAACATGAATAAGCTGTACAAGTAGAGAACAGACCTTGGAGAAAAAGACCTAGAACGAAAAGCTTCACCGTTCGCCACACGGCTTTTCTAGTTGCCGTAGCTCTGCAAGACAAATTCTAGCCGCGAATAACTTGGTAATTAGAACACCGAACCGAGGACTTCGATCGAATTGAGATCAGAGGTATGGTGTGAATTGAACATTGATGAATGCAGGCAGCAATATCGAATCGAATAGAATAGAATAGAATACCTACCTTGTACACGAGTGCGAGAGAAACGCCGACCATGAAGAGGAAAAACGGCATGACGAAATCCGCGAGGGTTAAGCCATTCCATGGCGAGTGATTGATCATCGGCAGGATTCCGCCAGCATCGTCGACCAGAATCATCAACTACAAGATCAAAATTGTGAAAGGAGAAACTTCAAATCTTGGAAAAATCGCTGAATCGGAACCTCGATCATTCCCCAATTGGAATTCCACAAGTAAAGAAAGGCAAGATTACAATCAATCGAAAAAAAAAAGGGTTAAGTAAAGTAAAGTAAAAATCCAGGTGAAAGGAAAAGTTACCGCAACAGTTAGGCCACGGAAAACATCGAGCGAGGCAAGGCGCGGAGACGGAGAACACTTGGCAATGCTGGCGGCAGCGCCGCCGCCGGTAGAATCAAAGAGCTTTTTGGCGCGAGGAGAGGGCGATGGATTGAATTTCTGGAATGCGGTCTCGATGTCACCGTCGGTACCATCTTCAATGCGCAGAGTACAATCCCTACCCCTTTTCTGCAATGTTCCTTCATCGCTAGCTTCCTTAATCAGCTGATAAGTCGCCATTGATGGACCTTAACAGAAACCCCAAATTCTTCAGCCCTAAATAATATCTCTATCCTCTTGAATAATCAGCAACAATATATGAATCCAAGAGAAAAGATGGAAAGAATGCAGGTGCAGGAAGGAAGCAAAGGGGGAGAAGGAATATCGGCGGCGTTGAGGAAAAAAGGAAACGAAAATGGCGGAACAGAATTTATGGGTGTTATATAAGTTACCGAAAGGCAAGAAAAGGAAAGGGTGTGGCTTTTGGGAAGGCCATTGGGCAATCGCCACAGCCCACAGCTCACATTTTCTCTCTCTCTACCTTTCTCTCTCTCTCTCCTCATTTATCTGCCATGACAAAGATGCGTTACCATTTTGCAAATTGCCTTTGGATGAACAGTCGAATCTGGGCATCATCGTCGTTCGATTTTCTGGGAAAATTTCGTTTCTACAAAAAAAATCGTAAGGACGAGGAGGTAAGAGGTGTGAGGTTGGATCCATTAATGGGGATGGGGATGGGGATGGGGATGGGTCCATTCATCAATCTCCACGAGATGCAGGTGGATTGGATTGAAGATGCTGCGAATATTTAGGGATATTTGTGAAACTAGGGATCAAATTTTTCAGGAATTAAAATCGGGAGGGGTTTGTTGTGAATTGTGATTGATTGATCCATCGGTGGCGGTCGTGATGGTGAAATGGTAATTATCTTTCCGAATGTGAATTCTTTTTGTTTCTTTTTTCGACGTGCAGATGGGTTTTTTTTGTTGGGGGTGTGCTGTCGGAATCTTGTTGATTAATGATTATTGATCAAGATCAGGTTGTTTTTTTTAACTGATTATGGAGTAATAAGCGGAATTAGGTAGAATACTAATCTGCATTGATAAAATCGAATATTCTGTTGCGCACAAAAGGGAAATAGTTTAACTACTGTGTTATTAATTAATTATTTACTGGACTTACTAGTGGAAGATATGCTCTGAATAACACGTGTTTTTATTAGTTGTGTTATGGACATTTTTGGGTTTAATGCATTTGTTTTGTTTCTTACTCAAATTTAAGTAATTCCATAATATATATATATATATTTTTTATTTTTAGTAAATTTATTTATAGCTTAAAAATACGAATTAATTAAATTCAATTTACTTCTCACCTTTTAGACAAGACCTCATTAAAAAAATTTTATCCTTATATCTTTTCTCAACAAATATTTTTATTTATATTTAAAAGTTTCTAATTTTTTTATAAAACTAATTTAAGTTAATTATACTCTCTATGTCCCATTGAAAGGTTGTTATTTTTTATTTTCATCCATCTCAAAATAAGGTTATCGTTTTCTATTGAGTAATTGTACTACCTACCTAACATAATAAATATCCTTCCAACTTACAATATATTATACAAATGTCATTAATTTTATATTAAAAAACAATACTAATAGGGGTATTTTCGTCTTTTTCACTACAACCCATTATAATACTAATATTCAAAAATCTAAGTGCAAAAAGTAAACTGCAACCTTGCACTGGGACGGAAGGAATAAATATATTTGGTTGTCTTGTATAAAATTTTATTATCTAAAAAAAATATCTATATTATATAAAATTTGATTTCAACACATATACTAAATTTTTGTAATTATATATATTAATTCATATTTTTAAAATATCAACAATAATATTCATTAAAAAAAATAATAAAATAATATAATAATTTATTGTTACCGTATTAGAAACAAAGAGATCATCTGTTTGAAAACGGAATCATACTATTCTATAATAGGAAAATTAGTATTCAAATAATTTTTTTCGATTCAATATTTGATTCGAAATTTTATAATTCGAATTTGAATAAAAATATTTTATTCAATACAAGTATGAATGAAATACAAATAAAAATTTTAATAGTCGATTCTATATTTGTAAATATTTAATTCAATAATTAAAAAAATACATACATAGTATAAAATGTAGCATACATATATGTATCTCTCAAAATAAAATAAAAACTGAATTTATTAAATATAATACTTTTTAAAATCTATATAAATAAATATATTACATAATTATAATGATGTTTTTATTTATGCTAAGCACAAAAATCTTTTGGGTTAATATAAAAACAATAATTAACAGTAAATATTTGTATTTTATTATCAAGTTGCCTTAATATTATTGTTAAAATTTTAATTTAAATATTTAAATTGAATAGCTTTGAATCAAATCGAATAAGACAAAAACAAATCACATATTGAATTAAATACTTTAATAATATTGAAATCAAATTAAATACTCGAATCAAATTGAATAATTTAAAAATTATTTAGAATCGAATACAAATATTATTTTAAGATTTGAAATGAATCGAATATCGAATCATATAGTTGAATATTTTTCATGAATCAAATAGAATCCTATAATATGTATGTGTGTTCATAGTTCTGTGTTTATTTCCACTTTGGTAATGTATGCTTATATTATTAAAGTTGGATATTATATTTTGGCATGGTTTAAGATAAATGATACAACAATATATATATATATATTGTATGTGAAATTGATGATCTCGGTAACTTTATTTGGAATTGTCTAAGTTGTTGGGATTAAATTGGAGAAAATAAATAGAATACATGTTGTTCATTTCTGTATGTAGGTGACAGTAGTTCTCCAATGCTATTTCTTAATAATTCTGTGAATAGTTAGAGTTATGCATGGAGTTTTTATAAATTCACCGAAAGGATATAGCCCAAAGCTATTGGAGGAACAAAAAAGAAGGTTACGAAGTAGTTCGAATCTTTTTTGGAAATTGGATGCATAACAACCACCAAAGTCTGTATATCTCCCCCTGGCCGTTCAGCTTCAGCCAGCTCACCCCAGAAGCGGAGTTGGAATGGAATTAGGGACGCTTGCTTGTGCTAGCCTTTTCCAACCTGATGGACTAGGTCACAACGATCTCAAAAAAAGTTAAGCGAAAGAAGCCCGCATGGCACCAGTCCTACATTTTGTCTCTGTGGGCCGAGGAGAAAAGGCCTGGGGAGCAGTCTAACGCCCTGTACGACGGTTAGGGTATTTGCGGCTTTCTTTACTTCATTTTTGTATTACCCCGCCCGGCTGGATATTGCAAGTATAACTGGCTGCCAACGATATACTCCCAATAACAGTATATATACTGGAATAATATTCATGAAAATACCCCCAATTAAAATATATACGCTCATACGTATTGTCAATATACTCATGAAATGTATGTTCATTTATGTTGTTCTTATATTTCTGTTGGGCTACGTAGATGACCTTACATGTACCTGAGCGCAGCTCATCTCTGGCCCATGGTGAGAGATGTTCCCGAATCCACAAGATGTTGCCATCAAACTAATACGCTAGACTGCGGTCCTTTGGTCGAAATGTTTGCCGAGTGTTACGTTCATGCAAACTTGACGGTTCATCCTTAAAGGGGCTTAGTTAGCGACTATAATGATATGAAAATCTATCGCGGTAAAATTGTTGCCCGAATTTTAAAAGGTCCACCATATGAAGTGTAGACTTCATTTCGGAATTTGTATTTGTATGTAACATTTGTATGAGGAACTGATAATCCCAGTTACTTTTTTTGGAATTGTCTCGATTGTTGGGATTAAATTGGAGGATTGTAGTTCATGTTTGTCTATAGGTTATGGTGGTTCTCCTATTTTATTTGCTAATGTTCATGTGAATAGTTAGAATTGTGCGTGGAGTTTCTATAAATTCGATTAAATATGATTGAATGTTCATGATGTACTTCTAATAACAACATATATACCGTCATAATATATATAAAATTACCCCCAAATACAAGATATATGCTCATACATATTGTCAATGTACTCATTAAACGTGCGTTCGTTTATGGTTGTTTCGCAACCCAAACTTCAATAATGTACAGTGCTTTGAAGTGGTAAATTAATTATCATTATTGTTTAACTTTATCCATACATAAAGCTAAGTTAGATGATACATTGGACTTAAATGATAAGTATTAATAGTCTTACAATTTCGACCGCAATGTTATTGAAAGTGTGGCATGATTTGTTGAATATATACATACAACAATTAAACTTTTCATCAAGGTATAACAAAAAAAATACAAAGGGTTTGCCTTCACCGAGTTCTTTTATACCCTCCATTTTTAGAAGATTGAATGCCTCTGTAAGCTACACTCAAAGATACCTAGTGCTTTACACATAATACTTTAGAAACAATTATATATACCTCTATTGTCAGTGTTTATACTCAGTACACACATTTACGTAACTGCATACACTATCAAACATGTTGTTTATTTATTGCGTACTTATATTAGGATATCAAATACTCCGGGAACACGTGTTTATGCCTGAGTAACCTCTACTCAGAAAACCGATCATTTTGGATATCATATACTCACTTGTTAACAACATGGTTCGCCGTCGCGGATCGGCCTTTACCGTTCCAGATACGTCGCGGTGCATCGTCGCGGCGTATTGTCGCTGCGTATCGGTCAATATAATTTTTTTTATATTTATTTTTATTTTAAAAAATTATGATAAGTCATTAAAATATATCAAATCATATAATTAATTTTAAAGTATATAATATTAACAAATATATTATAATTGATAGTAAATTAAAATTAAAATCTTGTCTAAAAAATAATTTTAAATAATATATTTACACTTAATTATAAATTATTCTAAAATATTAATTCTAATAAAAATTAATTTTTACAAATTAAATAAAAATTAAATACAATTCAAAATAAAATAGTTAAAATCTATCAATTAAATAAACAAATTAATTAAAATAACTAAATTTCTTCCCCAGACACACGCGTTCTTCCTCCCATCTTCTTCCCCAACCTTCTTCCTCTTTCCAAACCTCCTCAACCACAGAAGACACACGCGTTCTTCCTCTCATCTTCTTCCCCAACCTTCTTCCCCAACCTTCTTCCTCTTTCCAAACCTTCTCAACCACAGACACTCCTTATCCACCCAAACAAATGCAAGTTCTTCCCATTTCCCAAGTTCCCACACAAACAAACGGGCTTGAGGCCCGTTCCGGTTCCCGATCGGCCGGAAAGTAAGCAAAGGGGCTTGATTATTGTTCATCCAGCATTCATGTTAGGTACACCCAACATGGTGTAGAGGGATAATTCCAATCCTTAAGAAAGTAAGCAAAGGGGCTTGATTATTGTTCACCTGATCTATCATTTCTTCCGTAATACTTTCTTCCACGGTTAAATCTAACGATCGTAATGTGTTTTCTGAGTTGATTTTCAACTTCAGCCCTAAATACTTTAAATATGTCCATTGCCTCATATTTTTCTGAAATAAGGTACATATAACCATATAGAGAATAATCATATATTAATGATCGAAATATTATTGACCATTCCATGAATGTGTGGAAAAGGTCCCACAAATACCTGTGTTGATTTAGATTTTCAACAATAAAAAAGTAAAATTTGAAAATATGTTCCGAACTTGAAAGACAAGAGTGTCA